AGGGTGCAGACCCTCCCCCCCCTCCCCGCTCTGGAACCCAAAGGGTGCCTCAGCAGGTGGGATGCTGATGCTRTGCCGGGGGCTGGGCAGCCTGGCTGGTGGTTAGTGGGGACTCAAATGTCCCCAGAGGAGGTGTGTACTAAGGACCCCTCAGAGGAAGGAAGCCCCAGAATCCCAGGACAAGAGAGCTCTGGTGTTGTGGGCCGGGAGCTGCCCGTAAGAGTGGAGAGGGTCAGCAGCTTCTGCTCTTGTCCTGAGCGGTCCCTGCCCTCTGCAGGTTGTGGAGTTAGGGGCTTCAGAGGCCAACACAGACTTCTTGTCCCAAACCCCTTCCCCAGTTGGAGGCTCTGCCTCACTGAGGACAAACGCTGGCCCGTGAACCCTCCACCCTCAGGAGGTATCTGTCCAGCCGGGTGCCAGCTGTCACGGCCACACATGCCCATGTGGGTCCAGTCTGGCATCGGCCTGTCCCGGGATCATGGGTGCCTTGGAATAACAGCTAAGAGAAAGGCTTTCTGCTCACCATGGCTGTGCTGGTACCAGTGGCTCTTCCCCAAGGTTGCCTGTCCCTGAGTGCAGCCCTCTCCCAGTGCGACAGCTGCGCAGGACACAGCCATCGCCCCCCCTGTGCTTGCCATCCTCTGCAGGTCAGAGTCAGACGAGGGCTAGGGGACTCATGGACTTCCTGGGAGCCACTTTCAGACTTCAGAGGTACATGTCAGGAACACTGAGGATGATGGGCTTCTGTGTGCGCTCTCCTGGGCAGAGCTGGCCACTCACGGCACTTCCCTGAAATTCAGAGCTCTCCCCAGCTTCTTGGCAGGAAGCCTGCTGAGTTAAGCAGAGATCTGTACCACTGGACGCCTGGGAGCATCGGCTACCAGTGGTGGCAAACAGTGGCGCCTAGCGGTGAAGTTGGTACCAGTCTTGGAAACTGGGGTGGGTCCTCATTCCCCCCAGGGCTGAAGATAGACCCCCGAGAGTCACAGAGGCAAGCAGGGAAAGCCAGTTTTATTTAGGAAACAGACAAACCAGAGAGAGAGAGCAGGAGAGAAGTGAGGGCCCAGCTGGTTGCCCCTGAGAGGAGTGTGTCTTGCCCCCTTGTGGATCCCAGATTTCCTGTCCACCCCCCTCCTCTTTCTGTCTGCCTGTGTGCCCCAAGACAGGGGCAGAAGAGCCAGGGGACTCATTAGCCACTCCTTGTGCTGGGAAGTGCGGCTGGATCTCCAGAGGGTCAGCAGCTGTTGGTGGGGGAGTGGATCCGAGGTTAGCGGTTAGCAACCCATTTCCTTTCTTTGGGATGAGCTGCCTGTCCTTTGCCTCTGTTACCCAACATTCAAGGCCCCGGAGGTCCTTTCTGTTCCATCCCGGGTACTGGGACTTCCCCTGGAGGCCAATCTCCAGGAGTGAGATGATGTGGGCACCTTGGGTCATCTGTGTCAATCTCTTCGGTCTTGTGTAGGGTAGCCCTGGTGCAGGTTCCCAGCTCCTGGGCACTCTCTGCCCATATGCTGGAGTGGCATGAAARCCAAGACAGCTTCTAGGTGCCCAGGTCTGCCATTCCCTTCCCTGTTCAAGCACATGTCTGTGGGGCTGCTTCTGTAGATGAGGGCCGTTGTCAGGGTCTGGGAAGACACGAGGAAGCCAGTGACCACATCTAAACCTGCCTCGGTGATCTGGGGTGCTGGAGGCTTCTGTGGTAAGGAGCCTCCCAGAAGGTAAAGACGCTGCGCACTCTTAAAMCCCCCCCCAAACCGAAAACACAGCCTCTTCAACAGATGGTGCTGGGAACTGTGGAAATCCATATGCAACAAAACGAAATTAAACCCCTATCTCTCACCATGCACAGAACTCAACTCAAATGGATCAGGGACCTAGGAATAAAACCAGAGACTCTTCGTCTAATAGAAGCAAAAGTAGTAATCATGTGGCATTAGGCCCCAACTTCTTTAATACGACTCCTTTGGCACAAGAATTAAAAATCAAGCATCAATAAATGGGATGGACTCAAACTAAAAAGTTTCTTCTCAGCAAAAGAAACTGTCTGTGAGGTGAATACAGAGCCTACATCTTGGGAGAAAAATCTTTACCCCTCACACATCAGATAGACCACTAAACTCTAGGGTATATAAAGCTAAACATCAAAAAAACAAATAACCCAATCAATAAATGGGCCAAGGACCTGAACAGACACTTCTTAGAAGATGATATATAATCAAGCAATAAATATATGAAAAAAATATTTAACATCTCTAGCAATTAGAGAAATGCAAATCAAAACCACTCTAAGATACCATCTCCAGTCAGAATGGAAGCTATTATGAAGACAAACAACAATAATTGTGGGCGAGGATGTGGGGAAAAGGCACACTCATACACTGCTGGTGGGACTGCAAATTGGTGCAGCCAATATGGAAAGCAGTATGGAGGAGATTCATTGGAAAACTGGGATTGGAACCACCATTTGACCCAGCTATCCCTCTCCTCAGTCTATATCCAAAGGACTTAAAAACAGCATACTACAGGGACACAGCCACATCAATGTTTATAGCAGCACAATTCACAATAGCTAAACTGTGCAGCCAACCTGGATGCCCTTCAGTGGATGAATGGATAAAAAGTGAAATATATACACAATGGAATATTACTCATCAATAAGAGAGAATAAAATCGTGGCATTTGCAGGTAAATGGATGGTGTTAGAGAAGATAGTGCTAAATGGAGTTAGCCAATCCCCCCAAAACCAAATGCTGAATGTTTTCTCTGATATAAGGAGGCTGATTAATAGTGAGGTAGGGAGAGGGAGCATGAGAGGAATAGACAAACTATAGATAGGGCAGAGGGGTGGGAAGGGAGGGGTGGGAGCATAGGGTTAGAAATGATGGTGGAATGAGGTGGACATTATTATCCAAAGTACATGTATAAAGACACGGATTGGTGTGAATATACTTTGTATACAATCAGAGATATGAAAAATTGTGCTCTATATGTGCAATAAGAATTGCAATGCACTCTGCTGTTACATATAAATAAAAAATAATTTTAAAAGTCCCTCCAAACCTCCATAAAGCAGGGCCTGGGGGTGGGGTGGTGAAGAGGCTGACGTGACCAAAGTCATGATGTCGGAAGTGAGTTCCCAGCTAGGGGACAGGACAGGGAGGGGGAGGCTTGCAAAGATGGAAACAGGCGGCCAAGGGGATTCTGCATGGCGTAAAACGCATCAGGAGGCCCAGGTCCTCCGCGGGGAGCTGGGAAGCAGCTGCTGAAGATGCTCCCAGGGCTAGTGGAGCATCCAGAAGATGGTCCAGGTCAACCTAAGCAGCCAGGCCAGAGAGCAGAGGTAGCAGAAGACAAGGTCAGAAGTCGTCCAGTACCAAGGACAAGTGCCTGTGCATAAGGTACACAGGCCAGAGTGGAAGCCACTGAGGTGGGTTGCAAAATTGAAAAGAAGGTCAAAGTTCATTAACTGATTACAAGGCTGAGGTGGAAAGTCCATGTTATGCTGAGTATTGTTACTTTCTCCAGAACTAGGGCCTGAACCTAAGGTGCCTTACCACTGAGCCACTCCCAGCTCTTTTTAATGTTTTTCTCTTTGAGACAAGTTCTCACTAATGGCTCAGGGCCTCGATAAGTTGCGAGTTTGGCTTTGACCTGGCGATCCTCCTGCCTCAGCTTCCCGAGCTGCTGGGATTGCAGGTGTGCCACAGCGCCCAGCTGTGGCGGGGACTTTCTGAAAGGTTGGCCTTTTGAATTTCTGCAGCCTCCCTTTTCAAGGGAAGTCGAGGTGCAGAGAGGACCATGGCCCACCCGAGAACGCCCACCACGGGGAACGGGTGTGAGCCCTTTTCCACGGCCAGGCCCTTGTGCACCATGCTGCTCTCAGTTCTGCGTGAGCAGCGGTATCCACATGTGCTCCACATATTCATTATTTTCATCAAAATTTCATTGTCATCAGACTAAGCTTCAAGCACTCATCCCCTTGACTGAGGGTCATAGTTTTCAGACTGTGGCTTCCCTCAACAGTTGCCACCACATGTCCCTGACCCACGCTGGAAGGCTCACTTCATAGATCCACTCTAGGCAGAGGTGACCAGGGTCACAGAGCTTTGGGAACAGTCTGCAAGCATCAAGCTTTACTAACAAACGTGTAGCAAAGGGATTTTTCAAGCTTTGGCTCTGTGGTTTGGGGCAGACTTGCCCTGTCCAAATCAGTAACTGCTGTTTGAATTTTAATTAACTAAATAAAATGCAGCTATGAGTTCCGTGTCACAGCTCCACCTGCTGCAGGTCAGGAGCTCAGTCGTTGCATGTGCCAGTGACTGCTGACTCTACCAGCACTGCTCGAGAAGGGACATGTCCAGCCCCTCGGCTGAAGCTATGTCCTGTGTGTAACAGCTCTTAGATTTCTTATGATAGTTAGAACAGTGCTGTGTGGGTGACATGAAATGGGCCCACTGGGGTGCTCTGCATGTTGTAGAGTCCTACTCATCGGATCTTCTTAAATGGCTTCAGCAGTGTAAGATCATCGCGTCTTTGCAATGCCAAGGCTCAGCCTGGGGTGTCTTCATATTAGCTCCTTTTCAGAAGTTGAACTCGGTGCCTTGGGGTTGACATTTATGCTTTGCTTTTTAGGACAGAAGAACCTTCCACATTCAGCACTGTTGACAAATCTTTCCAGGTAGAAGGTAGGTAACATGCACATGTAAAATAGGAAGTGTATCACTTTGCGGTAAGATCACACCTGTCCAATCATGTGAAAGTGCCATCATGTACCGCTGAGAAGAGCCACCGCACTGCCTCAGAGGAAGGGGTCGGGTGAGATGCAGGAAGGTAAATGAGTAACACTCTCTGGTGCTCTGGGGCCCAGTGTGACCAAGTTCATTAACTAGTAGCAGCCTTGACGGCTAGCACACTGTGACTCAGAGGGAGGACGGCACCCTGGTTCTTGCAGGGAGCTCCACCTCTATGTGCCCACTGCCAGTGGACCCTGAGCCGGCACCATGGAGAGAAGCCTGAGGAATGTCCTTGTGGTCTCCTTTGGATTCCTCCTCCTCTTCACAGCCTACGGAGGTCTGCAGAACCTGCAGGTAGGTGTGGACCTTGGACCATGACCTTGATCTCTAAGCTTGTCCTGCCTCCAGAGCCACAGGCAACAGATAGTGCAAGGCCATTTCTTTTGTCAATGCACCCTAGACTCTCTGCCCTGTGCCTCTGAATTCTCCAGAACAGACTGTGTTTTAATACAAAACCTGACAGCGTCAGTCCTACTTACATTTCCACGGGCTGTACACTGTTTGACCCTTGGACAAGCAGAGCCAGTGTCTCAAGAGAGTGTTTGAGAGGACCATTTGCCTTTGGTGGTCAAAAGGAGACACAAGAAAAATCCTGAATTCCATGGCTCCATGCCCCTGGCTTTGTGATCTGTGCAGAAATAACCATCTATCAAACCTGGTTAGACCTCATGGATTCCATGCTGTGAACCCGGGCAGAACCATCTTCCTTCTGAACTACTGATGGACTGCTTGCTCCTGAGTCCGAGTCATACAGAACCCAGTGGTTTCCAGAAGGCTCTGGTGCTGGTGCCGTGGACCTGGGGTGGAGTCGACCTGACCTCAAGTCTGATCTTTCACTGGTAATAGACCTTCAGAGAGTTCCAAGGACTGGCAGGAGGCAGGCCATCGCTGTCCCCGAGAGCAGTTTGCTCAGTGTTGCACCTTGTGGCCAGGGCTGTCATACAATGACACCGTTTTGGAACTTCTGGTGATGACCACAGTCTCCCATGGTTTGTCAGCCAGGTCAAGAAGTAGCCACCTACTGCATGCCCAGTATTGAACCAGAGTTCAGTACTGTTCCAGCGCTGCAGGGGGATCGGGAGAAGGGCCCTCTGCTTCCAGGCACAGGGAGGCCATCCAGCAGCTTCCCTTGGTCCTCCTCCCAAGCGCTGAGGCCGGCGGGTGTCCTCACCTCCACACTTTCAGGGAGCAGGGTGCCCGTCCTGCTGTTGAGAGGCTGCTGGCCTTACGCCACTGACCTGCCGTGTCCTTAGCACAGAGGGCCTGTTGCTAGGGTTGGGGACCTGAGGTGCCTTGAGCCCACAGGTCCTCGCACCCACACCACTCCCCTGCCTACTCCTCCCCCTCCTTGACAGGCCGGTCTTGTTCCCACAGAGCAGCCTCTACAGCGAGGACGGCATGGGGGTGGCGACGCTCGGCACGCTCTACGGCGCTGTCCTCCTGTCCTCCATGTTCCTTCCACCCATCCTCATCAAGAGATGTGGCTGCAAGTGGACCATTGTGGGCTCCATGTGCTGCTACGTGGCCTTCTCCCTGGGCAACTTCTACGCCAGCTGGTACCCGCCCTCCCGCCCACCACCTCCTGGTTTGCAGGACTCTGGCGGCACCTGACTGCTCCCTTCAGGTTCTGCAGGAGGCTGACTGGCAGCCTCCTCCCCACTTTCCCACCAGGACTTCCCTACCTTCCCGATGGCTCCCTCTCTTCCTCCTGACCTCCAATGCTGACCTCTCCCTGGGATCTGTCCATGGCCCTCAGCTTCCCTTGTACCCCAGGGGCTCCATGGCCCCAATAATGGCAGGAAGAACCTAATTCAGTTGAGGAGGGTGAGTCTGGGAGGCGTGGCCAGGACCAAGGGCAGGGATGCAGGCCACCCCTTGCCCTTTCTTGCAGGTTCACCTTGATCCCCACCTCCATCTTGCTGGGGCTGGGAGCGGCCCCCCTGTGGTCTGCTCAGTGCACCTACCTCACAGTCCTGGGGAACACGCATGCACAGGAAGTGGGCAAGCTCGGCGAGGAYGTGGTGAACCAGTACTTCGGCATCTTCTTCCTCATCTTCCAGTCCTCTGGTGTGTGGGGCAACTTGATCTCCTCTCTGGTGTTTGGGCAGACTCCCAYTCAAGGTAAGGGAAGAACAGGGTGTCCCTGGTGACCTCCAAGAGGGGAGGGCGGACAGCACATAGGCACTTGGCCTTGTTCCCAGAGGAGGCCCTCAGCTGGCCTCAGCTGCAGAGTCCCATGAGACCCTGCTCCTCCAAGGACAGTCGGGGTCTGAAGATCCATCTCCACACGTTGCCCCTCCCGGGGAGCAAGGGTCCATGGAGCCTGGCTTCCTTTGGGGGAACAGGTTTGCCTGACTATTTCCTGTGGAATTAGTCCACGGGCAGCTTTTTAAAGTTCTGTGGTCAGTCCTTCCTGTAACAAGAGGTGCGCTCATGGTGGAGCCTCCGTCACCTGCCTTAAGTGTCCCTTGCCCGGCGTGATGTGGAACGTGACTTGCACACCACCATGTGGAGGATCTCAGTCTGGCCAGAGGAGTTGGGCAGGAGCCGGCCCTGGGTGACAGGCTCTGGCCTCTTGCTGCTGTCGGGTTGACCCTGTCCTGCAGCCTGGCCCAGCTCCTGCTCTYCCAGGTAGAGCCCAGCTCTGGGAAGCTGTAGCCAAACCTCCTGCTCTTTCCAGAGCACCGTCATCACTGGCTACTGGCATCCCCACGGGGAAACCACAGGGGCTCACGTTCTTGCTGTCCCCCAGCAGGGAGGGCTACATCTGGGCCCTGGTGAGTGCAGCAGCAGGCACTGGACGTTCAGGCCAGGGAGCTGAGGGCAGGAACCCAGGGCACACATCCTCAGGGCCAGCGGGGTTTCCGCACCCACCGTCTGGTGCCCTCAGCTCTCACAGCCTTCCGTCCCTGTGCTGCACGTCTCGCCAGYCCAGACAGTGCTGCGAGGTCACTGTCACGAAGCCATGGAGACCACTGGACACCGACTGCGGTGYGTTAGGAGAGGGCAGGAAAAGTAGCCAGGCCCATGCTGCGTGTGCTCTTCCCTGCTCTTGGCAGAAAGCGTATTTGATCCTCTCCCTCCCTGATGAGGGGTCCTGAGATCAAGGTGTGCCTAAGGGTGAGCGTGCCCTGGTCCTTGTCAAACACGGCCGGGTCCTTCCACGTCCTGCCCCCATTCCCCCTGCGACGCCCAGGACTCTATCACCAGGACTCTCATAGGCTGTTTGCTCCTGACCCCACAGAGGCCATCCCAGAGGAGCACCTTGAGTCCTGTGGGGCCAACGACTGCCTGATGGCCACAGCGCCCACCAACAGCACCCACCGCCCCTCCCAGGAGCTKATCTACACACTGCTGGGCATCTACACCGGTACGTGTCCTTAGCCCTCAAAGGCCAAGCCCAGCCCCTTCCTGGGTTGAAGAGCACCATCCCAGCTCCTAAGTGGTCCGTTTCCATCCAGCACCCCTGCCCTGTGTGGTCTGGAGGTCCTCAGGGGCTTCTCTTTGGAAAGCAGGCCTGTGGGCCAGGGCTACCCTGCAGGGAGGCCGTGACATTTAAATCTCTTCTCATCCCCAGAGCCCCATGCACTGGCCGTCAGCCGCATTCCAACCAATTAAATCCCCAAGTCTGTTTCTAAGGCTCCCTAGCCACACTTGGCAAGCTCACTGGCCACAGCTAGCTCACTAGGGGAGCAGCTACCACAGACCCCTTCCAGGGGACCAAGGCATGGAGGACCAAGTCCATCCAGGTGACCCTGAAAGGCCAGGAAGGGGTGAGGGAGGTGCGACTGGGGGGGACACTRTGGGCTGCCTGAGACAGGTGGTCAGACTGGTCAAGGCTACTGTGAAAGACCCAAGGACAAGGGCAGATCTGTTTCCTGGGCAGATTTTCATATCCACCTGATGTGGGGTGCAGGAAAGCTGGATGGTGACCAGACAGCAGGGAGCCACAACCCAGAGGAGCAGCGAGGGGCACAGGCAGCATGTGGACAGCGAAGACAAGACCAGGGATGTGTGTGCAGACACAGGTGTGGGGAGAAGTGGCTGAGGTCCACCAGCCTGGAGGCATTTGGCTTGATGGGGCAGGTGACCCTTCAGAGTGTAGAGGGGACCAGATACAGGAGAGGGCCTGGGGCATCTAGGGGTCAAGTTTGAAATCTCAGGAGGAGAGGAGTTTTTAGGGAGGAGGAAGCAGGAAGGACTTCGGGGAGGACGGTCCACAGCCTGGGCGACTCAGTGCTCACAGGCTGGCCAGGGCATGGGAGCCCCYGCAGAAGAGGGAAAAGCAGATGGGGAGTCGGCGCACGCAAGAGACAGAAGCAGCAGGGAGTGGGTGTGAGAGGGTCAGAGGACCAAGAGCCTGGAGGTTCAGGAGCACGGCTGGACAGCAGAGACTGGTGACCCTCCAAGGTGTCTGAGGCCAGATGGGTGGCTGGGACGGGGAGTGGAGGGTGTGGAGGGAGTCGGTGAGGAGCGGGCTGTGGCCTGCGCTTTCCAGTGGGTTCCCAGGTTCTGTGGGTCTGGTGCTGGGGACAGGGGTAGAGGTCRGCCAGGCCTGCGCTTTCCGCTTTCCCTGTATTTCCGTCCCTGTCCCTCACGGGAGCAGGTAGGCCCAGCTCACGGCAGCGTCCAGGCTGAGCTGAGATCACGTCCCTGCTCTGCACTCTCTAGTTGGACAACCAAGAGCAGAGACTCCCCTCCCCTTGGCTCCAGGACTCCAGAACTGGGGTGACCACCCTGAGAGGTGGATCTGGGAGTGGACATTAGGCTCCTGGCATCCCCTGGTCTCAAGAAACTGCTCGTACTGGTAACGCAGTGTTCACGGCAGCAGGTGGTAGCAGGATGTGGCCACAGGCCGAGTGCTGACCCAGATCTAGAGGAGTGGCACAGACCACAGGAGAGCCCCTCGGCGCGACCGTGGCTCCCAGGCCCTCCTTCCCTCCTGCCCTGCACGGTGGCACCCTCAGGCTATCCTTCAAGTCCTCCTTTGCCTTAGCCCCAGGTGCTGCTCATTAGGTACTTGGTACCTGCAGAGCACAGTGACTTGGGTGAGTAGTGACCTCAGGCTCTCTGAGCATTGTACTCAGGAAGAAGTTTCTTGCAGCCAATTTCTTTAGGGCGAGAGCGTTACCTGCACAACATCCCCCACCACCTTGAGGGAACTGGGTCACATGGTGTCTGCACACACCTGGCTCCTAACAAAGGGTGTGTGGCTTCCGTATGCTGACCTGCCTCTCCCGAGCTCCCGTCTCCGCAGAGGAGAGGAAACCATGACTTCCACCTGATTCACACACAACCAGGCGACAGGCTTCCTCTGGGGGCCTGTTCAGCTGGGGATGCCAGGGAGCTCCCGTGCCCCACGACCAGCTGTCAGTTGGGCGAGTGATGAAGGGCCCTGGCATGACGGTGAGGGCTGGTCAGCTGGTAGCGCTCGGTGCGCCTCCCCGTGCCCCTTTACCATGACAGGGGAGGGGTGGCGAGGTCAGTGAGACGGAGGTCAACGGGAAGGAGTCCTTGAAAAGTGTTCTGAGGGCCAGCGGCGCCAGGAGGAAGGGAAAGACCAGACTCCCTCCATCCAGCCTGTGCCGCCTACACGGGGTCATCCCTGTTGCCAGAAAGCCCAGCACCCGCTGGAGTCACAGGGACTCTGTGGAGAGACACCACCTGCAGCAGCTTGGGCCCACCCAGAGCAGAGCTGAGGCACAGGTGGACGGGCCAGAGGCGGGCGGGGAGGAGGGGACTCGCTGGCTCCTGAGGCCCAGCACCTGGGGGTCCAGGATGCTCCCTCAGAGCAGATCCATCCCTGTTAGAAACAGCGGTTTACACAGCAGCCCATTGAGGAGGTTCAGATAAAGGGCTGTGCAGCCCCTCGGCCCCGCCCTCGGCCCCGCCCTCGGCCCCGCCCTCGGCCCCGCCCTCGGCCCCGCCCTC